GAGAGAATGAGAATGGACTTCAACTCTTGAAATTCCCCAACCAGATAAGCATTTCTCAACTTAAGGAACTTGAAGATGTGTGGACTTTTGACTCCCAGTAGTCCCCACTCCACACATCTTCAAGCTGATAAAGATGAGAAACACTGATCTAGAACCTGAGAAGACATAGAGCAGCATGTGGAATGCATACTTCAGAGTCCCTTATGCAGGTTTTTAAAGGGATATATTCTCCACATAAACTTCCAGTTGATTCAGAAACCCTAGGATACACATGTTATTATGAGCAAACGCTAGTCAGGGGTAGGCAACCTCGGCTCTTTTATGACTCATGGACTTCAACTCCCAGAATTCCTGAGTCAGCATAGGAATTCTGGGAGTTGAAGTCCATGAGTGAGGTTGCCTACCCCTGCGCTAGATCATTCTTTTCTTTCTGAATTGTTACTCATGCTTTTTTAAACTCATGCCATAAGTTGACACTGCTATACCCTAGAATGGAATATATTTTGTTTGGAGGTGGAGATTCCCAGTATATAGTGAGTCATCGTGAATGCATTATGAAGAAAACATATCCATTCCTGCTTTTCTATTCAAATATTTCAGAGAAAGATGCAAGAAAAATGGATGAGGTTGACGTTATCCATCTTATTCTGACTACAAGCTAACAATGCTGCCCTTTCACTGTGGTTGGCACTTAGTACTGGCAGCAGCAAGGATGCCTCAAGGGTAACCCCAAAGTGTTGAAAGCAGCTGGGAAACAGGAAGTAAGAACTATGCAACAAGGAAAGGATGGAGTTTAGAAGGGATGATGCAAGAGTATAGAAGGAATTTAAATTAGCACAAAAGAAGTGAAATGAAGTGAAAAGGATGCACATGCTTATCCATAAAACTAGTGAAGCATTAAGAAAACCTAGGTGGCTATCTTAAACTGAGTGAGATCATCTGCATCAACATTACAGGCAGTCCTCGACTTACAACAGTTCATTTAGTGACCATTCAAAGTTACAACAGTGCTGGAAAAAAGGGACTTATGACCATTATTCAATACGTACGACCTCTGCAACATCCCCATGGTCACGTGATCAAAATTTCCGCATATTTATGACAGTTGTAATGTCCTGGGGTTTGTGTGCTTCCCCTTTCGCGACCTCCTGACAAGCAAAGTCAACGAGGAAGCCAGATTCACTTAACAACCGTGTTACTAACTTAACAACTGCAGTGATTCACTTAATAACTATGGCAAGAAAGCTGGTAAAATCGGGCAAGACTCACTTAGTAACTGTTCAGTTCCAAAACTGAAATTTTGAGCTCAATTGTGGTTGTAAGTCAAGGACTACCTGCATCTAAGACAGATATGTCAAACTCGCGACGTCACATGGCATCGCGCAACGTATCGGAGCTTTTTCGCCGTTGCCGGCAATGGGGTGGGCGCGGCTCCGGTATGATGAAACCGGCCTGCGGGCTGGCAGTTTGACACCCCTGATCTAAGACAATGGTGTTGAATCTACAACCCTTGCTGAACTACAACTCCCAACATTCTCATCCCTGGCCATGCTGACCATGGCTTGTGGGACTGGAAGTTTAGCATCCTCCCTAAACTAGACTTTGTGACAGTAAATATCCCGGATTGATACCAGAGATCTTGCCCGGGGCAATTTACAACCAAAGTTTATATTCTACCACTGAGATATGCTCCTTCAGGATTTTTTTCCCCCAACTCTTCCTAGAAAGGTACCTTTTGCTGTATGTCACCACTTCAGAACTCTTAATATACAATCAATCTACAGCTGTCCCCTTACTGTATTTCTTGGAACGTGCAACAGGAAAGGACTCTGCTTTCTAAAGTTCTCCTTAATAAGCACCTGTGCACAACAAAGCTAACAAGTTTTCACACACGTCTCTGAAGTGTATGAAAGATAATGAAGTAAGTGCACTTTAGTTCCAAAACCTTTTATTGCTATTGTTGATGTAGGAGATGAAAAGATACTTAAACAGCTGGTTTGGCAAGTGAACTTTTTAAACTTCAGCCCAAGGTAAATCAAAGTAAGGACAATTTATCTGGAACTGCACAGTTCCAGGTTTCACAAAATCTCCGATGCTTTTAAAAATGATTATGTTTAAGTCAGTCTCTCAACAGCTAAATCTTGGGCTTAGATATAGGGAAATTAATTTCCTATCCACTATGCTCCTGAAAAACAGTGCTGGGGGATGTTACCTTACAGTCTGTGCCTTTTCATTATTAAATTTGAGCGCAACTTTCATAGCGTTCAATCTAACTTACTCTCAATGTATATATGCAAAGGAGTGCTACACTCAAGGTACAACACTGTTTGTATCTTGTGAGGAAGCCCTTTGATCAGAATTGAAATGGCTTCTGAGTAAATGTTCAAATTATTCATTTCAGTAGATAATGAACTTAATGGATACATAGTCAAAAAATCTCATCAACATATTTCAGCTTTTATCGTATTTAACACCAGAATATTTTGAACTATCATATCTCAACAAAACTGTCAAAAGTAAACTATAGTCAGCAGTATAAAAGCAATCATACATTTCATAAACACGAAAGATTAAACTTCTGTGCTAAATACACTTTTGTCAGAAATAACAACTGATCCTTTGTCTGTGTTCACGGATGAGCCAAGCAACATTATTTTTACCAGCCTTTCAACTTCAAAAATATTTCCAGCTCCAAGCTGTACTTTGCAATTGTTTTATTAGATGTTCTGTTTAAAAAAGCTGTGGATAACACTGGATTTTGCTTGACAAAACACTCGGCTTTGGTTTGCTGGAATGTTTCAACAGTCCTTGTTTACATACCCGTTTTTTATTCCATAACAAAAATATAAACATCCTCAAACTAGGATACATAACTTACAGGAGTTTTGAGACATCTTATTTCATTGAAAAATGATCGCAAAGCAGAAATTAGAACTTTCTCTATCCAACAAACATGTAAATAAGAAAATTTAGTCCTGATCTTAAAGCATATTATATAGACACAAATTGGCTGATTTCACACAAACTATGTCCATTTGGGCTCACCAACTCTTTTCACCTCCTTTCTCCCCAATTTGCACAACAGAAAATCTGTACACTTTTAACGTTGCACACAATACTTTAGACTTGCAGCGGAAAATAAAAACAGTCCAAGAGCGGAAATTTCCTTGTGCTTACCGGTACCTGGATCTTTGCAGAGGCTGAAGGAATCGTTATAATTCTATACGTTCCAAAAAGTGCAACAGGAGATTTTTATTTTGAAAATGCATGCTTAAGATAATCCTCCTTCCCTCCAAGCCTTTCTCCCAGGAGCAAGGTAACTAACCTCTTGCCTCAAAGCCTCAGACACTTAGGTGTAACTCTAGTTTCACCGACTGACTCTCTCTGCTGACACATTGCTGACATCATCAGTTTTTATTGCTGGGTCTATCTCCTTATTCCACCCTCCTTTTCTCCTCCTCCTCCTCCTCCACAGAGAGCAAGCAAACCTGCTTGGTGTCTCCCAGAAGGAGGGGAATGCCAGAAACCCAGGAGCGGAGAGTGTGAAAATGTTTTTAATGCAGCCCAGGCGAGGAGGACTGGTGTCACGGCTTCCCACTTCGCACGGTGAGGAGAAAGACCATCCCCTCTACATTCCCCTTAGTCTTACTCACCCTCTCCAAAGGCAACAGGTTTGACAAGAAAAGTTTCTGACATTCCCGGCGGCCCTTCCCTTTGGCTCAGACGAACACG